AACAAAAGCGACCACGAGCACCTAAAATATATTCGAACCCAGCCGTACAAGTTTTGTTACACACTTTCAGTTTTGTAATACTTTTTCATTTATTTACCGCCGTCAAGATAAATAATGCACTTGTTTAACAAAGCAACGCAACGAAATAAAAGTGTACTATACGGCTTGTGGCTGTGCTCGCGGTCGAAATTATTTTTAACGGATACATATCTGAGCGTCGATGAACTATAAATAGCTACGTGAAAGGGGTTTTTGTAGTGTAATGCTTTTGTTGTACCTTGTTTTTATTTTTATTTTCATTATACGCCAAACACTACAATAGCATGTATGATGAAATAAATCCAACACTGTATCTGTTTTATCGGTAGGTGGTAATGATCTACATTAATCTTAAATACCTTGAGACATCAGTGTGGCAGCACTGTCTTTCTCAGCTACAGTGTGCGCACTATATCCATATAGCATATTATAGGAATGTATCAAACATGGTGTAACTATGCGCAAAGCACGCGCATAGAAAAATTACCGACAAAGTCAATAAATAATATACTAAGTACTATTTCAACATTATATAAGTATTATGTCAAAATCATCGTGATAAGATGCTAACTTACGGAGAGTACAATACTGCCGTAATATTCTTTTTGTTGTATTATATTACAATCGTGTTTGGCGACAATATGTGACAATATGAGACACTTCGTAGGGATAATCATTACCTATTTTTTTAAATCAATAAAAATTTTCTAAAGCTTACTAATTTCATTTTAAAAGTAACATGGATAAACATGCGTATATAAGAAGAATATTTAGAATAAATCTCTCTCTCTCTCTCTATATATATATATTTTCTCTCTCTCTCTTTATATATATATATATATATATATATATATATATATATATATATATATATATATATATATATATATATATATATATATATATATATATATATATATATATATATATATATATATATATATATATATATATATATATATATATATATATATATATATATATATATATATATATATATATATATATATATATATATAAAGTATAAATTATTTCTATTCTATATAATCTTCATATAATTTCTTCATTTTTTATATAATTGCTATTAGGATATTTTATAATATTTTAGAAGTACATTAAATTGTGAGAGAAATAAGTAAATATTTTTACCTAAATATACTTCCCTACAATATTTATTTAATATTCACATTGACCAAAGCTTTGTAAAAATATTTATATAAACAATAACAATTATATCTATTTTTTTTCCTACACAAATAACTAAAATCCTGTATAAAAAATGATTGGTTTAGTTTCATTAAGTACGTTTACTGGATATAAAATTTTAATCGGCTAATAATATTTTATTATAATATATAATTTAATAATATTAATAATAATAAATATGCATTTGAAAAATAAAAATATTAAATCAAATTATTCATAATTTTTGTGGATTTTTGTGTAACAATCAATTATAAATTTATTCAAATTAAAAATAATTTAATTTTTAATGTATTTGTTATTGTGAGACTGATATTATATTAAAATTAATTATAAAAAGTTTATCGTTATAACAAAAATTATGAATGAAAATATTTTATAATTTATAATTATAATTTTATATATAAAGCTTTTGGGCAATAATAAGTAAATGAAGAGAAAACTTGTAAAAAGAATAACGTAGGTAGAAGCTATTTTAGGCTTTAAATCGAAATTTTTAAATTTACATAAAATATTATAAAAATGATCTTTCGCGCATAAAAGATTAATTGAAGTCATAATTATATTAGCAATGCCAGTACTTAAACGTTAGTGAAGATTAATAGTTTTACAAATTTTTGTCGCTATGTAAAGAGACTATGGTTGAAAATTATAAATATTTTGGTCCTACGGTAATATTTATTAAAAGGTGCTTGAAAAGGTCCAAAGTATTATGTGCAATATATATATATATTTGAAAAATTATATTGTAAGCGATGTAATGTGGTTGCTTGTATTCTATATGTTGACAAAAATAAATTGTAAAGGATAGTGAGGTTTTAGGGATTGTATAAGTATTCATTAATAATGTTTCGTACCAAGTTCTATGTCCAAACTGTCCCAACGTATTATTTTATAAAATGATTCACAATATGAATGTTACTACTTAGGCGATTATTGACTCAGAACATTATTAATTTTCAACATCTGCAAAAGTTAAGAAGCAATATAAGTTTGAGAAAGGATTCTCAATTGATGAAAATTAAATATATTTTAATAGTCGTTGGTAGACTGCAAGTAAATTCTCAAATAAAATGATATAGAGAACCTATGTTCGACATATCAACTTGCATTAAGGGAAAAATTAGAATCGTTAAGTTTGAAAATAAATAATTGCTAAATAACTGAATCAATAAATTTCAGAATTATGAAATTTAGAACTGCAAAATTTAGCTCGAAAATTATCTAGACGAGGCTAAAGTAAAAATGACTAAAGCAAATAGAATAAAATGCTAAAGAATCGTATGTACTAAGCTATTTAACGAGATTATTAAGAAATAGATTTTTGTTCAAATTGAATAGAATTGAACGTAAGAATTGAACAAATATTTAAATTAAAATCATTTATAAGTAAATAAGTAAAATCGTTTAAAGCATGAATAAACTCACGATTTACCATAAAATTACAAGTACTTACACACAAAGAGAATCTCTACTTTAGAATACATTAGATATTATTTTTCACGGAACACAGTACATAAAATAGTGCCTTTTTGCAATTATAGAAAAACTTTTCCTAATTATTTTTCAAAGTATGATATATAGATAAAATATATAGAATATAATATATAGATTATAATATATAGAAAGTAGTATGACATAAAATTCTTTTTGGCACTAGAAGCAACTGTGCTTCTCTAAAACGAATATGATTTTTCTGTTAAGCAAAATCAAGATACTAATCGTCAAGAAGAATAGCATAATAAATTTAGTTCAGGAAACTTTCCTGTTTTTATTCTTTTCTTACTTTAAGCACATACTAATTTATTATAAAATGAATAATACTAAATAAAAAATAAATATAAATAAGCACCATTAGTAAATCATTAGAGTATTAATAAAAAATGATTGTTCACTAAGTCTTATGGCAATTATCCACGATATATAAAAAATAAAATAAATATTTTATAATAATTTATTATTTACAAGCACTATGCAATTAAATGTCAATGAGAAAACAGTAATTTATTTGTGTTTCAATAATTATAAAAAATATAAGTATTAATTCAATTATCAAATTATTATATTTCATTTTTTTCATAATATGCTAATCAATAAAATATTTTCGTGCGTTACCAAAATCGAAATTAAAACCAAAATCAATTTTCAATCGAAGCAACCCTAATTTTATGCTTACTTTTCTCTTCACGTCGTTTGAAGCGAATGACCCAGTCAAAAAGGTACAGCCTGAGCAGCGAAAATGAAAATTATTGAAAAGTATTTTAAAGTTTATTTAAAGGAAAAAGGTATACCATTCGATAAATCCACTTTCAAGATAAAAAATAAGACGACTGCGACGTCAAGGTATCCTAACAGTAAAAGAACAAAATACGAATTGCTAACGCCCATTATCGCAGCAATATAAGCTCCATCTGTAGGTGATTCAGTTAAACTTAAAATCTGCGTAGCTTTACCATTTTACGATATAAACGACATAGAAATTAAATATAAAAATAAAAAATATTTAAAAGAAATTCATAGCATACGCATGCACATTTAACTTCTGTAAGTTTCGTTTAAATTTTTAGTCTTGAAAATTCTAAAGAATTGTAAAGATAATTATAATTAATAAATGCAATCGACAGAAGTTTCTAGTAAGTCGATAAAGCTCCCTTTGTTGGAAAAATGTGTTATAGAGTTCTTAAGAATGTATCAAAACATAAATATTCGATATTAATATAAAACATTGTATGAATTAAACATAATTTAATTGAATACGAACATCGTACTTTATTTGTTTTTTTTTTTTTTTTTTTTTATATATTATTATATATTATATCCTTTAAATTATTACAACTGAATACTAAGTAAAATAATTAAAAAAAAAATAATAATAAAAATAAAAATAATTTACTTTGTGTTCGATTACCAATCTATTGAAGAATTTAAAGTATTGAATTTATATTTAATTTATATTAAATACCTCTTTAATGAACAATTAATTTAATTAAAAATTATTTTATACATGCAGAGATTTTATTATAAATTTTTATGAATCTTTTGTTTATTTCAATTTTATATTCATACTGTAATTTGCTTTACTCGTTAAAAAACAAACATATTTTTCATTAATTATTCAATGATTGTTATTCTTTTAAATGTATATGAATTTAAACAAGAGCATTTCTAAGTTAATTGTATATTAATTCATTTATATGATTTTATATTGAAACATCTAATTATTAATTAATTATTAAACTTTTTCAAATTATGGATAGGATTGTCTCAATTGAAAATATAAGTATACTGGATAATTGTATTAAATTAAAAAAACATTTGTTTACTATATTTAATTTAATAATAAAAGCTTAATTTTTTTTATAATATTCATACGGTCAATTTGTGCACGTTAATTATTTATTATTGATACTTATTATTATTATAGTTATAGTTATTATTGATAATACTAATAATAGTAGTTTTACAAAAATTTCATAAAATATGTTAATGTAATCTTTGTGATGCACATATTGTATCGGTAAATATAATAAAGAAACATTGTGTAATTTATATTTGTAATACTTAATCATTATTATAAAAATCAAAACATTGATATTGTATATGCTTAATTTAAAGTGAACTACGAAATTTACGTAGAGGATGTACCTGAATATAACTAAATGATGATAAAAGCTTTATTTTGATAGAGTTTCTTTGTACAATCTAGAATTAATAATAAGACATTTTCTCTATTATTGTACGCGAATAAAATAATTGTATTATTAATATATAGTAACAGTCACTTGAGTTAGTCATTGGCTTATATATTAATTATAGAACGCATTATCATAAAAATATCGAACCTTGTAAAAACACATCATATAAGCTGAAACGTAAGTTTATTAATAGGACGATGTATCGACGATAAATCATTTTCCCCAATGAAGTTTAACTTTAAGGTCAGAATAATTTATGCCTTGTCGCTGGATCTCGACTTTATAACAATGTTGATGCGCGGCGGTGAGATAGTGAAACCATTTACTCCTAACAAGCAGGGCGCTGTCTCCTTAGGCGCCAGGCTGAATCGAAATTTTTGCATCAAACTGGCGATAAAGAGAAAGAGACTAATCCTTGCCAAGTTTTCACCCGGACACTTCCTGCGTCCTGAAAAGTAAAAGAATTTACATTTAAAAGAAATTGTGATGCACGGTCGTGTGAAACTTGTTACTGCTTCTCTACGCGCGAACATGTTATAAATATGGATTTAGTGGAAAGGTCGGCGTGAAGAAACGCTCATGTTCCGGTTATACGTAACATAAAATTGTAATTTAATTGTAATGCCAATGTTTTGCCATAATTTACAGGCTAATAGAGTTTATATTCTCTTGGACTGCATAATCGATGAGAGCCATAGTATATGTGAGGCTTAATAATATCAAACTTCATTAATATCAATATTAATTAATATCAATATCAATATAATTTTTCAATGTATATAGAACAGTAATTTAAGAATGTTTACAGTCGCAATTTGCAATTTAAAATATTAAAATATTATGGAAAAACAACATAGAGTAGTAATATATGATGGTATGTGGTTAATGCTCGTAAAGATTTTTACAAGACCTTCACCATTTCAATATAATATTATAATTAATCTATACGTAGAATCTATATTTTCTTCAATTTTTTCTACAATAATATCAACAATTTTACCAGTTCCAAAAGGTATGAGCCATGGATCGTCCACGAAATTTCCATTTTGATCGATAAATCGTTCAGGTCGAAATGAGTCTGCATCAACCCAGTGATCCGGATCCAAGTGAATACTGTGGAGACTACCAATTACAGACCAATTTTTCTCAACGTCGTAACCCAATATTGAACAATTGGCGACGGCACGATGCGCTATTGTTGTCGGTGCGACATTTGCTAACCTCGAAACTTCGGCAATTGTCGCATTTAAGTAAGGTAATCTAGAAAAAGAAAAGAAAAAAGACGCATTGTTTTTTTTCACAACGTATCGACGAGAAAATTAGGGAACTAAAAATATACTCCCGATCCTAATTTCTTCAGCTTCACTCTCAATAAGAAGAAATTACTATTATTTCTAAATAATGTTATTGTTGGCATTGTTAATACAACAAATTGTATTCTAATGCAGCATATTATTACAGCTAATTATTCAAATTTATTACAACGACATTTAACAAACAAACATTAAATAGTGGTAGTAAATGTAAATTGTAAAACTTACAAATGTTTATTTTCTAGCCGAGGTACTTCAATATTCCCAATAACTTGATCTAATTCATATTGCAATTTAGTTTGCACATCAGGATACTTGGCTAAATATACTATTGCGAATCCTATTAAATTTGACGTTGTTTCTATTCCAGCCGAAAATAGGTCTTTTAGAAGTACAATTAATTGCAATTCTGAAAATATTCAAACATAAAAAATCAATTCTTTTTTTTTTTTTTTTTATCAATTTTACAATGAATACGCAAATATGTGGAAAACCTAAATTGTATCATGTATTTTTTTTTAGATGAAACATTAGAAAATTTTAAACACAATAACATTTTTCTTTAGAACACAATATATATTCTACATATTGTATTTATTTATTTATTTATTTATTTATTTATTTATTTATTTATTTATTTTTATATATCTGTATTTTCAATCGATAGAGTAATTTTTGTAACGATTAATCAACCTTTTAGTTAATAATCGACGTACTATGAATATTAAAAAATTTAATATAATATACCATCGAATGATGAAGTTTTTTCCTTATCGCTAAACTCAATCTGATCAAGGTAGGTATCAATTAAATCTCGTGGTTGTCCAGATATTCTGGTTTCCTTGTGTTTAGCAACTTCATCCTATAAGTGTTCTCTATTAATTCTCTATATAACGTCATTCACTTCATAAATAATTTATTATTAATAATTTGTTGAAAATTACCAAAAAGTAATTCGACATCGTAGTCGTTACTTTTTCTTTTTCAGAGAATCCGGAGCAAAATGGCTTTATTAAATGTAAAAATGGAATGTATCGCCACAGCTTATTTGAAACACCACCATCGCGAAAAGCTTCGTTAAGAACACGTAATATCTTTAGCATTTCTGAATCTTCTTTGGTTAAATCACATCTGCATAAAGAATATGAGTTTGTATATTTTAACGAAAGTTTTGTTTAACATTGTTATATGGATAAAAATAATACATTCCATTCTAAACTATATTACCTTTTACCAGCTATTAAATTCCATAAACTACTTATAACTGCCATTGCTGTAACTTCACCAAATTCTTGAATATTAATATTCTTATCGAGCATTTTATCACTTATTATAGAGCATAGCATATGTGTATCCTCTAATACTAATCCTTCCATCGTTCGTGTGCCAAATCCAAAATCTTTTAGAACCTTGAGTGCAAATCTAAAAAATAAACCTTTTTTGTTATATAAAAAAAAAAAAATAGTTAAAATACTTTTATCTTAAAATAATAAATTAATAAAAATAATATAATTAAAAAAAAAAGAATTATAACATAGTATTCGTGCTATGTTAAGTTGTGTAATAAATAAAGAAAATATTCATATTTGTAATATATAAAATTCAATTCCCTTATAAATTGCTTGGATTATCAAGGTACTTGATATCAAGGATTTTCGAGAGACAAAAAAATTTTGTCAATAAAAGATTTATTTCAGCTGAATAAAAGTGCAAGTTACTAAAAAATTTCAAACCAATACAGATAATTAATATTTACTTGCATCTTTAGTTTTAATTATTCTTTACTTGCATCCATTAAAGCTTATTAAATAGTATGAAAAAGAATTTAAAAATCTCCGATCTATGAATCGGAACAATTGGATTCAGTATTATAATCAGGATTATAATTAAAAACTACATATATTTAAATGTATTTGCTAAAGCTTATGATAATTAATTACACTCTTCTTTCTTTATGAAATTTTGAGTAAAACTACCTATTTACGAACTTCAATTTCAATATATTAATTTCGATAGTTTTTTTAGTTTGAAAATTCTAATGTAACAACAAGATTTGATTTCCATGATTTCTAATAAATATCAAGACTTTAGTCGATGCTTTAATTTAATGAGAATCAAATGTAATTCAACATATTTACTGTTTCGAGAAGAATGAAAACTTTTCTCCTTTAATTTAGGTCGTCTAAGAATAACAAATAATATTAAACATCTATCTAACGTTATATCATGAATGTTTTCACCGAATCATAGTCTTTAATTATCACCTCGTGCCCTCTATTTATCTATTTTATTTAGTATGTTTCATTGTATTTTTTCTCAGTCCAATAGAGTTAAGAAATCATATTGGCCATTATTATTAAACTTATATAAACATTAATAAATTGATAAACTACGGTTAATGACTTGACTCTCTCAACAGGGCGCGAAAAATCAAGACATTTATTTGTTTAAAAGAGTAAATATTAAGGTAAAATAGAACTTTCGACATATCGAATTGGTAAAAATCATCCTTTCACTCGACAGCCATCACAATTACAAAGAACTGACAAGTCACTCGTTTGCAATTAAAATCGCCTAGCTTCTAGCGTAGCCTCGCGCACTAAGAAATTTCGCCTATAAAGAGCGCGAGTGTTGGGTCGGAGGGGATGGAGGTGGGGGTTAGGGTGGCTCGTGAGTGTCGCCTACCTCTTTTGCTCGATCCACTCTGGGCCGTCGTTGAAGACGATTCCCCGCTGTTTGCCCATACTGCGAAGGCGCAACTCCACACCGTCGGGTCGGCCATCGAACTCGCGCCGCCCGAGAAAGTCCAGGACGGCCGTGCGACCGGTAATTATGACGAGGGGCTCCATTAGGGCGAGCTGCACACGGAGCACCGGACCATAGAGTCCTGAAAGATATTTCCAGGCGGCCCAGTCGTAGCCCATCTTCTGGATTACCCGTCTAATTTCCAGAAGGTTGCCGATCAAGGGAAGTCCTCGGGGCCCTTTACAAGAATTTCCCAGTCGTGCGCAACACGTTGAAAAAGTTATTCATAAGAACATTTGGCAAACGATTGATAATGATATTAGAAAACGAGCTTTCACCCATTTCGCGATATTACTCTGTTTTTACGGAACAGTGAACATTCCATTATTTTTTCAAGTCGATTTTATTGAGTGAAATTGTCACGTTGCGTGGACTAATCAATGTCTAATCCATTATTATCTCCCTATTCTATTTTTCGGTTCACGATTAAAAACAATATAGATGGAATTTATTAAGAACTAATATGTCGTTAGGATATCGCGCAATATTTGTACGATTATGGGTTTCCAAGTTTTTCAAGAATATTATTGCTCGGCTTTGGTTTTCAAACTTTCAAAATTACTAAATAGGTGATTTCAAACCCATTTTTATGACTTTTCGAATATTATGTCAGATTACTAATATACAAAGTGAAATTAATGATTATGAGATAAAATACCTTCTCGTGAAAAATTAAAATGGTAAAGTTATGCATTTTCAAAAACATTTCACTTCTACATTAATTAACAACTATGCTATGATATAGTCACATATGAAAGGATAAAGATCCTTTAATATCTCATATTAAATATTCTCCTTTAAAAAAAAAAAACAAAACAAAAAAAACAAAAAAAACATTGCATAAAATTTACATTTATTAATTCTACATAAATAATTTTTAGAACTATGATAATTGGATATTTTTTAGAATAATCTTTAAAATATAATGCCTTAATAATTATAACAAACTTTATATTTTTTGATTTTTCACATTTATTAGTTGCAATACTTGCCATTTTATAAACTGTCGAAATGATTAATAATAATAGTACAATAGTTATTATTATGGCAGATATTATTATTTTTATTTTTTTAAAAGCTAAAACAAATACGAACTATTTATTCGATTGTCAATAGGGTAGTAATAGTCAATAGTAGGAAATTTGACCTGAAAAAAAGTTTCCCAATCACAATAATATATAAGCCATATATTAAAAGCACTATATATTATTATTCTAATTATTAAAAAAAAAAATTATTAAAAAAAAGGAAACCACGACTATTGTTAATAATAATACACATATTTTTCAATTCGAATTTACATTAGTTCAATTTTTAAAAAATCATAATTTTATGTTTATTATTGTATTCGTTAAAGTGATTTATTTATAAGTATTCTTTTATTTAAAAAAATATTCAATATTTCAAACAAGAAATTTGACGATTTTTTAAAAAATTAATTGAATTATCGAATTACCAAAATTTTAAAATGCACTTTTCATGATTGTTATAAATAATTTCTTTTTCTCAATTTCTTATATTTCTGCATTTTCTCAATTATTACATTATCGTTCGCAAAATTTAACATTAAAATATTGTTGTATAATAAAATTAAAGTCTTTATTATAACCGACGACATATTGACATGTCAGTCACGGGTTTCTACCATATCGTGACCACAGATCATCTTAAAAAATAAGTTAAAATATGAATGTTAAAATATGAATGTTAAATCTACGATAAATTTAGAAGTACAAGGCAAAAAAATTTGTTAATTCTGTACTGCCCGAGTCAAAAATAGTCTAGAATAAAAATTGTTATTTATTCGACCAAATTTATGAATAATACCCATTATTCATAGTTATATTGCTTTTTTGAAATGAATAGATTTTCTCTAAGATTTTCGTCTCTGATTAGATTTATTTTACAGTATGTGAACAATGAAATTAAAAATTGCTTAAAAATTCTAATTTATTTATGTTATAGTCACGAAAACAATCACATTTCCGTCATCAATAGCATTATTATTATTATTGTCACTGTCGTTGTTGTTATTGTTTTTGCTATTATTATGGTTATTACCAATATCATTATTATTATCGTAATTGTTTTTTATTATCGTAATTGTTATTATTATTTGTTTCTCGTTTGCATCGATTTCTTACGAGCGTAAATTAGAATTTTTCATTTGCGTTACAAACTGCTAATTTCTTATGGGTTTTTTTTTTTTTTTTTTTTTTTTTTTATGGATTTTCTTACAAAAGTCTGTGTTTGAAGATTGTTATGTTAATTAGATTAATTTAATTTTAATTGCAGAAAAGAACTTAAAGTTTATGCACGCTTGATGCAAAAGTGACAAAAGTGTAGATTTCGCAAAGCAATACAAATATTTTCTTTTGCGTATTGTTGAATAGTAAACAATGCGAAAATGTAAAAAAAAAAAAAAAAAAAAACGAATGATTTTACGCAAGATCATAAAAACGTAGCTTATTACCATCACTGGAGGATTCAGAATAATCTATATAAGTAGCGGTTAGAGTGGACGCCTTACTGGGTGAGAAAACGTATGGATTATATTTCCAATGTAATAGAATACACCACCTACCTGGTGGATAATGTTTGTGACTTCGTCTTCTCCGATCGAAGCCGACCTTGACCACGAATAGAACCACACAAATCACAATCAGAAGCCACATGCTGCGTTGAGCGAAGATAGAGTGAATCCGGATTTGGAATAGGCGTGAAAAATCTTCGTGTGAGCCTCGACGAGCGATAACTTTGAGTTTTACAATACTTGGTAGATAAGGAAAACCATAAAACGCAGATGCAAATCCCGTGGCAACCACGAAGCGTGACTTTGGGCTCCCGTCGTCTGTATGAAGAATCATCCACATGTATCCGCGCGACTCGTTAATGGTGGCGGTACGAAGCTAAAAAGACCATAAAGCTTGGGCTTTTTGCCGTTGCACTTTCACTGGACAAATTGACTAAGAGTATGGCTGCGCTCACTGTCGAAGGTCACTGCGCGTTTTATCTCAGAAGGAACGAAACGTAACGGTAACTCGATCCTTTGGCTCCCTGTATGTACGTCTTACCTTCACTTTTCGCCGATGCCAATAATTTGCGAAGCCAAAGTTACAACTCGTTTTTTGGCAGATACGTGAACAGGTTTCTCATGACGACTGCTACGATGGGACGAAAATGCCTGTTTCGGTTAGTGCATTAAGTTGCCGTTGGTTTTTCGAAGAAAACGAGTTCTTACATTATCGCTATTGGCGAAACATTCGTTAGGTGGAAAAGTTGCAAGTCATTATCTAGAATTAAGCAGCAGTACATTTATAAGTAATTAATCAAACTATTCCAAGGTTTTGCGGCTATTTTGAATGCGAGGGCTATTTTTTCATTGTCCTGTCGACTGAATTATCTGAATAATCGAATGATCGGTTAGTTTTGTTTGAAGACATGTCTGATATAGTTTCGAGCCTTGCCCGCGTATTTAGGTTAAGGAACAGGTTTTCGAAATTTATCGGTCACTATTGCATTTATTTTTATTTACTCAGTTTCTCTTTCAATTTTCATGTTAATACGTATATTATATTTTTCAAAAATTGGCTTCTCGTCTTTAGTAGATATTAATGAGAGTAAAAAATTATTTGTTGTAGAATTTTGAAGACTTTCATTTAATTTGAAAATTAGCCGTAATGGTATATCACAAATCGCAGAAGTTCAACTTTCACGGATGCAATTACAAGAAATATTAGTCAGAATATTACGCGAATTTTACCGCGGCTTGTTTAACAGTAATAAAATTATTTATTTTACATTAATTTATAATATTATAAAAAGTATTAATAATTATTCAAGTCATTTATATTATCTTACTTATGAGAACGTCCACCCCCCCCCGCCCCGCCACCTTTTTTTTTAAATCAGACTTTCCTTATTTCCTTAAATATCAAGCGATATATATGTTTAATACGTAATTTAAACATGATTGAGAAATGCTTACTTATATTATTTTCCATAACTCTTAGAAATTAAATTTCTTAAAATATTAGATTTTTCTTATTTGAACACCATTCGAATGCTTAAAATATACATATATAACATACATAACAACTTTTCAATAAATAATACGTTATATATTCATATCAATAAATAATCATTTTGTATTTACATTCATTTTAAATTTATGCATAAACAGTGATTATAATGGAGATAATTATTTAAGATTCGATCAATTATTTTATTCTACAGTTATTGAAAATCTTATATTTAAATACATACATAGTATTTCGTGAGCTCGATTGAACTATGACATTTCTATTTAATAATTTTAAATAAAAAACAATAATTTGGTAAAAGTATCAAATATTAATCATATCAGTGACAATTGTTTTAAAATTTAAAAAACATTCAAAAACTATGAATTGAACATTGATTTGTAAATACTTAATACAATGAACATATTATATTACGTAATTAAAAAAAAAAATATATTATGAACTTTATAAAATGGAATAAAAATAAGGATATTAACGAAAATTTAACACACAAATAACTATCTGAATAAATAAATATATATATGAATAGCTAAAAAATTGGGGGAAAATATAAAATTCTAGAATCAACTTATAATCTCATAGAAGTGATAAATTGATAAAATGCCCTATTTTATGAATTGGATTTAAAAGTTGTACTTTTTTATTATTAAATCAGATAATTCAAAATTGAAATAATTTTGTAAGATTTCATAGGAAATATAAGAAATAATTTTAATTACAAAATTTTAAAACTTAAACGAGATAGAAAGTCAAGTAATTCTTGACTGAGTTGTCTTATGCTCCCATTTATAACGTGAATGCCATCCTCCCACTTTTAACTGGCTCACCCGATTTTTTTATATTTTTCTTTTTACTTTTAATCTTTATGATATTTCTCAAATTATATGTTATATTTTAGAACGTTTTTAAATGTTTTTTATAAATATAAAATGTAAACATTTATAAGCAATATGAACTCCTGCAATTAAATTCATTTCAACTAACCAAGTGTTAATTACATCGTAAGTCAAATACAAATTTGTAATAGAATAGAATGACATACGGGATAATTGCATTATATAATACATCAGGAAAAACAACTTCAAACGAGTTTGACTTCACACGATGCCGAACATTCTAAGTAGATATATATTATAGGTGATACATATTTTGCTATTTGCAACTTAATGGAAACCATTTTATGGAAACCATAAAATGACGAAAGTATGCCACAAATATGTCACATACTTAATATATGAGGTTCTTTAAATTTGTAATTGATATGTAATTTGTATAATACTTTGATAAAATGTATTATTTGAACATTTATTTACTTGTAAATTATGATCCATGAAGTAATTAAATAAACAAAAAACTATGAGCAAATTAATTATCTCAGGATAATATTGCTCAATAGTTTTTTTGTTTATACGTACAAAATTCACCAATTAGATAATATAACTAAATAATTAATGAAATATTATTTCAATTAAATGAAAAGTAATACAGTTTACAAGAATTTTTATAATTAATGGAACTTTAACAATTAATTCTAAAATTACTCACAGATTTTGTAACTATTGCGTTTATTATTCTGGAATTTGTAATTTTGCAAGACACTTCCTACTTTGTTGATGCATAGATACGATGAAAAGAAAGTTGTGTAATCAAATATTATAAATCAAATAACTTTATATTGAAAGCGATGTTTACAAAACTGATATGAAACGGGAAAAATTCACTCTAACTTTACACAACCAGTGCCAGAACAATTAAAAACATATATTAAACGATGCACATTAAATAAAATTATTAGGTGAAAATGAATTGTTTTTTATTCTATGAAATCTAAATAAAAAATTTATTAAATCCCATGATTTATACTAATGTTATGAAACAATATAATACTTTTGATACAAACACCAAAGCGTGTACATATATAATTTTTTTAACAAACTATATGCAGAAAATATAAATAAAGTATTAATAATTTTTAGATAAATCAATTAAAAATGATAAATATTCTTTTTACGAAGAAATGTATTAAGAATTTACTTATAGCAAAGAATTCAATTAGCCTAAAAACCTGCAAGAATTTAGATAATATTATTTATATCTAAAAATATATAAGGGCTTTTTCAAATTTTAAAAGATGTATGTATCTTTTTGAAAGGTTAAAGAAATTTAATTAATATCTTAAATAATAAAATGAAGAATATATTGTTATATTATACTACTAAGCTTTAAAAAGCATTAGGAATATAAAAAATTTAATTAACATGAATTAATTTGTATTTTATATTATAGTTACATTTTCGACGTTTACTAATATTACTAATTAACAAATAATTAAAATTTAATTTTCATATTAATAAAAAAATTTAAAAAAGTAAAAATTATATTTTTTTTACATATTATTTTTTAACTGTTTATTCATTAAAATATTGTTATGTTTCTATATAATGAATTTTAGTTTTGATTTATAGCTTCTGTTGTACTTATATTTTTATAAATAAACATGCAAATTCGCTGTTATACAAATCACTTTATTTTTCGAGTTCATTCTTGTTAATATACACTTTTCAGTTTACCATATTAATAAATATTGTGCATTGTTAAATAAACAGAATAAATCCGTAAATTAATTTTTTTTCAATGTAATTCTTACACATATTAATATTTTATTTATAAATTTTTTAACTTAAATAATTATACATTGATTTATCACTTGAAAGATAATACTAAGAATGAAGATAAGATTACATTACGTTATATGTAGAATACAGTTTTTTATGTTCAAATTATATATCGTTAAATAACTTATAAACTAACGTAAATTTAGTTAAATACATTTCATTTTTTTATTACAATATTTTATGATTTTATATTACGGTCGCTAATTTTATTAATTTACTACGGCACACATAGTCCGACGCGAAGTCAACAGTTTAATGTAATAAACTTATACTATTTGATCTTTTTAATAATACTTTACTTTCCAATATTAAAAAAAAAAACTTTAAAAAATATAATCTTATATATAATACTAATACTAATAATAATAATAATAATAATAATAATAATAATAATAATAATAATAATAATAATAATAATGAAATTATCTATGCACATTATATAAAGATATGAAGACTTAATATCTTTTACATTTAAAATAGTAAGAGAAATGTTACTTACGAGTACACAATGATATCTATAATATATGTTCACACGTACTCAATGATTTTTTTATCAAATATTATTTTACCACCATTATAATTCCTAATAAGGATAATATGTTAAAAATATACAATCATTTATTTCGAATATTAATTATAACAACTTAACTATAACAATAATAAATAGTATATTTGTTTTAATGTCTAAAACATGAATATTCAGTACCAATTAAACGATATGTTGTGTAATAAGCACATTATAATTGAAAAATGAATTTAAATATTTTCATAAATCCATATTTTTTTATAAATTTTGATGATCAGTATCTAATGGCCATTTGTATGCAGAGATTGAAAGTGAGCGAGGAAATTGTTGCAATAAATTTTTGATTAATAAATTGTTAGATTATATCGAAGCTAGTAAGTAATAATCTTTCAAATTAAATAATTAATACAATGTTGAAATTGAATATATAACTATATTGATATTATATATATATATATATATATATATATATATACATATATATGTAGTATAAAATAAATAGTATAAATGAGATAAATTATATATAACATTCTAATAATAATTATCCTAAATAGAAAAACGAAATTGAAAGGAGAATTAAATAATTTTGTTTTTTGAAAAATAATAAGTATTATATTATTTAATATTTAATGATAATCTATATGGTAATGATTATTGAGATAGAACTTCTAGAATTTACAAATTAATGTAATTAATTTACATGTGTAAATAATAAAATAAGAATAGGTTTCAATTCAAATAAAAATATTTCAATATTTTTGAAAGCTTAGTTTCGGAAAAACGTAATTTATTGTTAATCAATTCAATTTTATAATAAAAAAATATATATACATATATATAAATTAAATGTAAACAAGAGAAATAAATTGTGACGTAATATATATATTTTTTTAGTAGACCGAGAATAAAAATTAACGTGATAATAGGGATGTACAAAGCTTATGTACATAAAAATTGCATCGACGCTCACTTTAACGCATCCCCATTAATCTATTAAGTATAGGGGATTTAAAAAGGCATAGTCGACGACAATAGAACCATAACAATACAGATTTAATTTTCAAAACACCCGTAAAAAGCGATTTTTGAAGACATCACTCATACGAAATAGAGTCTTTAGGAAGATTTGCATTAATGTTACAGCAAAGAGCGGCAACGTCATCATTGCATTTTTAACGATCGGCGCACATGTTCTTTCCCAATCCTCTGTGTGACGCTTAAGTGCCGGCTTTGGAAAAGTAGCGTAAAGGACAGAAGAGAAGAGAAGCCGAAGGAGAAGAGAGAAAATGAGAGGAGAGTCGGTAAAGGGTGACAGTGGCAGCTATAAGTGTCTGCATCGTTAAATTATTGGCGATCCATTAGGTTGGAGTGCTGTCGTTGGGAAAAATCGATGTATTGTTGGCCGATGGAGAAAACGTAGCGGCAGATGCGAAATGGCGCTTCGCTCATGAGAAAGCAAAGCACTCGTTGCTTTCTACACCCTGACAATCCCTGATGTGAACCACAAGGAATTCTAGCGCTGAATCAATTAATCTAATGGGAGTTCAGTACTCTCGATTCGGACTTAATTATCACGAAAGAATTGGAATGCAAACGTAATCCGAAAGAAATTAACAATTCGGTAGATTTTACAGTGGAGCGATGTCACGATGACTAGATGCTGTTGCGAATTAAGTCTCCATCAGTCCTATTTCTTTATATACCGTGTTAAATATTTATATAAAAAATAAAAAAAAAAAAAAAATGAAGAAGAAAGAAAGAAAGACGTCAGACGTAAATTTAAGTTTTTATGTGTGTAACGCAATCTCGCATTGTCTCCATCGATCCTTTCGAAAAGCAAATTTTTACAATACGGGAACTATATTATACATATATTAGTACAAAACTTAATAATCACTATTTCAAATATATATATATATATATATATATATATATATATATATATATATATATATATGAATGTAAAATAAAATTTTGTATTTTTTATCGTAGATAGTATTGTGTGACCAGTGTGTGTTTAATAGTTTCTAAAAGTCCTGTGTTAAGGCAACGAGACACAGAAGCGACTCGAAGCTGCTGATGGGTCATTTGAATTAATAGTATCAGCAAATGAAAAAAAGAAGAAAAAAAGAAGAGAACACGCGTTGTCACTTGAAAAATTATTTTCGTCCTGTAGAAATAATCGCGATATTAAAGGGGTAATAGAGTTGTTGGAAAGCTCGTGATTCAACATCATCCAACGAATGCAACCCACACGTATCGCTCGATCTCGTACGTGTGGTCACCTATTTTTCAAAAACTACGGCGCACGTAACATCGAGTCACAGGAGTCTAAAAGAACGCAAACATCTTGGTCGCGCGTCCCGGAAGAGAAAATATAGTCGCGCAAATCGAGTGTGGCAGGACTTTCGAGCCGCGCGGCCGACGTACAAATGATCCCGCGTACGTGCTCGCGCATTCGTCACTTCTTTGTTCATCTTCGCTCGCAGCGAGAAAAGTCGAACTAACGGATCTGGTATGCGACGCCCAGTGCCGAGTTTCACCAGGCAAATACCAAATTCCGATTGCATATGCAGCTGATCGGGAATTCGCTAGCCCAAGCGCCGATAAATCGCGAGGAAACGTCCTGTCCGGACAAACTTTCTTTATGTACGTTGCATTATTTCATACGTGATTGTTTTTATTAAAATTGAGTTTCTTACTGCTAAGATATTGGCCAAGATTCATATGGATACGTTTTTTCTCCTTTTTTTCCTCTTTTTTCTTTTCTTCCCCCCCCCCTTTTTTTTTTTATAAAAAGTATAATCGATTCGGTGTTATGTTATGTAAGCGATTCTTACGAATGACATTCGATCTATTAATTTCTCATTGGTTTTCTTTCTTTTTATAAAACTTATAATATGCAATAACCTTTTTGTATTAATATAATATCACTCAAGCGTAACATATGGGATATAATATACTGTACATAGTAAATTATATATATTTATATATAATATATGTAATATACTGTGACATATGGGAGTAGAAGAGTATTATTTAGTAATTTAAAATGCCGCACATATTTCGCTTAGATATTGGCTTTGGCTTCTATTTAAAAATATGAATGAATATTTTATATATAAAGTAAGTATTGTAATTAGCGGATAATCAATAATAATAATAATAATAACGAAATCAAATTTTAATCGAGAGCTCGTTCTTTTCTTAAATGAAACATTCTTGTGGATCTCTGAATAATTGGATGGATTATTGATCTCTACCGATCTCTACTAATTATTAAATATTATATGATTAGTTATTATAAATACGGCAGATATTTAAATATATACTTGGTTAAATGAAAAAAAAGTCCATTTGTTTATTAATTATTCTTAGAACAACTATTAATACAGAGATATTAAAGTATAAGTAAATTTTACCATAAAATAGATTATATGCTTTCCCCGTACAACATGAAATTTATTTGATTACTAAACAAATTATGTCTTACTTAATTAACAAGTATTAAATTAGTAACAATTAAACAGTTAAGATTTAATATACTTCTCGATACTTTACATATTATTAATATATTTATAGCGTAGAGAGTTTTTGGCATCGATATTATTAGCATTAGCATTAATATATTTATTAATCTTGTCCAAATAATACGATAATTTATGGAATGATTATATTATTTATCATTATATTATTTACAGTTCTATTTTGCGTGAGGTCGAACTATTTACTGTTAGAACAATTACTATTAAAACTATTCGGAATCTTAAGGTACATACGCTCGTCGTAATTTCTTCTTAGCGTTCCATATGACTCGTGAAAGTTCATTTAATGTAAATGAGTATCTTTACAATATTGAATCTCTTCATTTTAAATTTTAATATAATTATAATGAATAGACTCTATTTAGTAGATTTAGATGTTTTGTTGTAAAAAATATCAATAACTCATTTTGTAATAAATTACTTTTAAATTGCAGATAAACATTTTTAAAAAAATATGAATTTGTGTATGTAACGTAAAAGTAAATTATAAAGCAATTTTCATATTAAAATATTTATCTTTATTATATTGCTCATAATGAGTATAATTACTATATAAAGACACATACAAATAGAACAGGTGCAAGAGTATAGAAAAATTGTGTTCACGTATATGCTTATTATGCTCAATTATAATTCGATTATTTACTTGTATTATTTTTTGTTGTCATTATTAAAAATAGTCTTACATTTAAATATTAATGTCAATAAATATTATTGTAAGGGTTATTATTTATATTATTTTTCATAAATTATGATTTGCTAATATGCTCGCTTATTCAATGAAAATTATTGCTAAATTGAGATTAAAATTAAAACCACGTTAATTCATTTACTAGTTTTCTCATTACTTTTTTAGTTACCTTAATGCTTTAATTTTCTATACAAAGAAATTGTTTGCGACGTATTGCCAAGATGATTTAGAAAAATTTTAGTATAGTGGGAAACGAATAATTCAATCTATAGTTGACCGAAGTTAAGAAAAAAGCATTGTTAGGTATGATCCTTAAGTGTTCGCTGATTGAGATAAAACTCGAATAGAAGGATCAGAGTTACCTGGATCTATGCAAGAGATTCGTAAAATAATCAAGGCACAATGAAGATTTAAATATCGCGTTTAGTAAATTCGGATATCTACGTGTGATTTTGCGCATAAAAACGGCAGGAAGGGGAGAGGGAGCAGAAAAGGATACAAATCTCACAATACACGTTTACAATCGGTATATATGAACGTATCCATGTAGTTCTCCAAATAGTCTCACCTTCAGTTTGAATAATTTGTGGTCAATACTTTCCATGCTGCAGCAGGAACGGAAGCTGAAATTTCTCGCTTTTGCGACGGATGTTGAGTCAAACGGAGCTATCCGTCGATAGTCGTTCATGCGCCTTGTTCTCATACAGACTTTCAACTCCATTTTTAAATTATTTCTCTTGATGATTATTAAGATATATTATTTGCGGTAATTTCTCATACTTCACTTAATAATAGACGATTCTGTGCTATAAGTATCAAAGGATAAGAATTAATGAAACGTATATTTGGCGTATACTACCTAAGAGCTGATTCGTGATACACTGCTTCTTTCAACATAGTTTATTAAATTTTCCTAATTAATGATATTATTATATTGATAATGATTATTAGTTTTTACGTGAAAAATAAAGTTTCAAAGTGCTTTTCAAACCTTATCTCCATAAAATACACATTTAACTAATTAAAAGTCTCGTAATATCATTTCATTAAATCAACGCTCCGGAAGTGATATGTACATACACTTTCTCATAACAACTATGTTAATACTAACTATGTTAAGCTAATACTAGCGGGTATTATTAAAATGTGTGCAAACTTCCTCGGCTTTCTCGATTCATGCACATTCGTGTACGTGTGCTTAAAATCTATTCTACATTTTATAGATTGAAATCTCCCGTGAGTTAAGTTCTTAAATTTTGCTACAAAAAAATAAAATAATAATAACAATAATAATAAATAAATAAATAAATAAATAAATAAATAAATAAATAAATAAATAATTCGTAATATGACAATGTGATTTAAAATAAAAAATCATATTTCCAATAATGGCAAATGCAAAAACATTTAAAAACAATTTCCCAAAATAATGGACAGGCAAATAAAAAGAAAAGAAATCATATACAAAATATGCAAATGAAGTATGAAAAGTAGAAGAGAACGTGAAGAAGTTTGCGGAGTAAAAGCAAAGTAAGTATACGAGAAACAGAAAGGTAAATTGTGTGTAATGTAACATTGAGATGAATGAGAAGGTTAGAATAATACTTTACATCCTGGGGATTAAGAAAGAAAATGAAATTCCAGAGAAGTATGAAAACAGAAAGAAAGAGTATTCAAATGTAATTAATTTTCCTGTTTTAGTAACCTGTTTTAGTAACATAATTTTACCGATTATATTTCATTTGTTTGTATCTTTATCACTACGCTTGAATAAATTACTTTTAAACAAATAATAATTATTTACAAGGCCTATACATAAATTTCTTATCTAGCCATGATAAAACAAAACGTAATTATTTTCTATTAACTTTTCTGAAACTTTAAAGTGCTCATATAATTAATATTTCGTTAAACAAAATTAACGCGCAAAAGAACTACTCGAAATTGTTTGATATGACTTATACATAAAATTTTATTTACTATTCTTGCTCAAAAATAATTTATTTAAATTATGTGTTTTGTGTTTTATTATTTCACAAGATGAACGTGAAAGTTATTAAATGGAAACGACTTTTGTGCAGTTACATTTACAGTTTAGAGCTGCTAAAGCTTCTTCAATTTTAGAGGAATTTAAAAACTATAAATTCTACGATAAATAATAAATGTAAATTACAGGAATACGAGGAAAATATACATTATCCAAAATGCGTAATTCGAACGTATTATTTGTAATTGTGAGCTTATCTGACCTCGTAACTAACAACATATTTTGCTTTATTGGTTTTTAAATACTAAAATATTGTGCAGAGGTTGTGATTGTGACGTGCTTTCAGAAAGTAAAATCTCATGTCTAATCATGTTGCTATATTGTCAAATTTTTTTTTTCAAATAGCTTTCTCTTTAATATTGTATACACGAAAAGTCGATGTATTACTTACCATTTACGAAAATGGCAGGAAAAACTTATAATACGGAATGCTACGATATATTTGCTCGGATCATTCGTAAACTTTTGAACTCTAGTACATTTATAAATTTTACAACTATCATTTATTTTACATCGATATTTCAAATAAACTTCTTAATAACCTAGATCACGGACATCGACGCTAATGGGATTTAAAAAAGTTTTCATTTTGGTAATTTAAATAAAAAAGATGCCACAGTATGTTGTGCTAGAATACTTTCTCCATAAAATTTCAAAAATTTAATGTTTAAAGTTTCACTTCACAATTGAAGTTATAAGTATACAAAAATTTATATTATTCAGTCCCGTGCTAAATACTACATTACTAAATTAGTTTGATAAAAGAATTTTTTTATGAAATATTTAATAAATGTTTGTGAATTAAATATCTCGTCGAATGTTATTGTTTACAAAGATAAATATTTCAGTTACGATAAAATATATGACACTTAAAAACATCGTGAAAAATCTTTTAAGAATAATTTTTTTATTACTTGCTCTTTTAACAATCTGTCAGTTTTGTAAGTTTACATAAAAAAATCGGATTATTTTATAGTTAACGTAAGGAAAATCTCAGAAAAGCAAAGAGAATTCAACGTATTCAAAATAGTTTTACGAATGAATTATTAAAATTAATATCATGAAAATCATACTAATTCTCCTAAGCTTTTCTCATATATTTTTAAATGATTCTATTTATTTCTCACAAATTCATTGTTAATTATTATCTTGCAATATTTTTAATTTAGAGAAAATTACTAATTACAATTATTATACCTGACGTATAATCACTAATTTGTTTAAATTATGATCCTGATTCCAATTTTTTTTTTTTTTTTTTTTTTTTTTTTTTTTTTTAGCAATCTAAGTTAAATAACGTATGTATTTCGAGATAAAAGAATTTTCATCTTTTCAGATATGAATTATATTATTTGATAAATTATAGTAGTAAGTAGAAATATAAGAAGAGTGAAAAATATTACTTTTATTCATAGAAAACTCTGCCATGCAATTGGAGTATAAGTACAGTATATTATTCGCCTTGTTATATGGCCTCATTTTAATGTGCCCAACAAGTCATCTACTAAGATCTAACTTTATCTGTATAAGTGAATAAGAAAATAAATCTTAGAAATTATAAAACTGTTTTTCCAATATTTCTAATTCGGTATCCAAATGGTTAAACACTATTCTAATGCTCTAATGCGTTGATTTTTCCATTCTCTGCTCTCTTCCAATATCGCTGATTACATATAACCGTGTCTCATTTACATTAGATCTACTTTAGATTTTCCTAAAGAAAATGAGATGAAATATATAAAGAAAGCTTCATTGAAATTCGTGTATTGTAAAGGAAAAAATTTAACCCTTAATGTGTAAAGGTATAGATTAATCGACAAAATGACGTAAAGAGTATGATGTAGATGAATATGAAAATAAAGAGAGCGAGAGAGAGAGAGAGAGAGAGAGAGAGAATATCATTTGCAAATACTCGAGACGTGTTGGCACTCACGATTTCCCTGCGGTTGATCAAAGTATCCGGAACACCGCGATATCAAGTTCGCTCGTAAACAAATGGATACGGGATCCTTACGTTGCTCCATCGCGATCGCTCTGAATTCTCGGCCGACTGAAAACGAAGGTACGGAGGGGCATCGAAAGGAAAAATGAGGAGGACGTCATGGGAACGCGCCGAGGTGGGGGCGACAGAAGGAGGAGGATGATCGTCACTTTGACCCGGGCGCCTCTTCACCATCCCTCGGCATTGGTTTAGTCAGCTCGCGCCTTCCGCTTCCGCGGCACGCGCCTCTCCTATCACGTTAGTCCCAACTGCAAGTCCCATCTTCTCGGGCCTCAAATCGGATTCGGTGGTGATAACGCGAACATGTGCTCGGTGTGAACAGCGACGATGTGAAAGAGCACCTCGCGAGTTCGGAGTTATTATTGGCTAGAGGCGATGGAAGTTCGACTCGTAAGTGTTACTTATACTTGTGAATGGTAGAGATGTGATGAAATTGTGTTTCGTTCTCAAATGCCCATTATTTTATTATTTTATTAATTGCCGTAAATTAAACTGGCTTTTGGGCATTTTTGTTGGAAATTCAGCACGTTGTGTTTTAAGGGAATTAATGATAGAAGGGCGATTTTGTAGGTCGGCCACCTTATTTTAACAATTTCAGTGATTTGGTATTATTATTGTCAATAACAAATAATCGTTTAGGATTTTTGAAGATAATAATATAATGTTTGCCAAATCTCTGAGAGCGGATTTCTTTTACTATAGTGTGAAGATTCATAAAAACATGAGAGATAAGAGTTTAGACAAAGCTTTAGTCTGTTACAAAGTAGTATAATGTTATACCTTTATTTCATAAAATTATCAATTACCGTAGTAGTGTAATTTTAGATTTATCATCGTGACTTCCTTTGATTGAATTCGAGATGTAAACGATTAAATTAATTAGTTTCACCTTACTTCCATACGATTGCATGTACGCAATATTATTTAAAATTTATTTTCATTTATCCTTTCAGTTATTCAAAATTAAATTTGAGGAATAAAATTAAATGCTATGCCCTATAACTGTTACCTATTTCTGAATAGTTAATTTACCAAAAGCTTAATATTATTTTCTCCGTTTACGCGTAAAATTACGTTTATTATAGAAAAATAATTAATTTTTGTTTTGTTTTGTTTTTAATAGTAAATTCTAATAAAATTATTTTCTGCTTAATGTATACTGATTTGATTAATTATATTTTTATGTATAAAGCGAAGAAATGTAAAAATAATATCAATAAAGTTATGAAATTAATAATTGAGTATCGTGACAAATAAACTACGTAAAATCTTTTAAATCGAAGAATGTATAAAGAATATGTAAACAATCGTATTTTCAATAATCAACAAGTAAACTAATATGATACTTAATATGATAAACTAGTGTGATGATATTACTGTAATATCTATATTGTTTGAAGCTATTTATTAAAAACAATGAAGAATTGAAGAAATATTATGTCGACTTTTTACAAATAAATAGACGATAAAGTATTAAATTTTTTAGTGAATAAGTTACTTTCTCAGTATCAAACTATGTCATTTAAATTCATATACTTTAATGATTAAACTTTAATTTTAATATAATTTACGTATAAATAATATGGAAATAATTAATACAAATTACTCAGTGCGCATTCTCATTCATCTTTTTTTTTTTTTTTTTTTTTAAATTTATTTAAAAAATTCAACATCTTTCCTAATAGTTAAAGATTTTTATTATAAAATTGTTCTTAAAACTATGATCGTTAGAAACAAATAAGTTGTATAAATAAATAAAAATAACATGCCAATTCAACATTTTAATATAATTTAATATACAAATCTATTAAATAAATATACAAATTAATTACAGTAATATTTTTAAAATTTCTGCGAAATATCTTGATACGATATTTATAAATAATTCTAATTATTATCAATGTCATTTATAAAGCGTACGTACAAAAAGTAATACTTTTTAATACTTGTTGTAATTCTATAACGTCATTATTTTATTAATAAAACACCACATGTTTATTTATTAAATTTAATAAGATAATAATTGTAGTAAAGTATTCTATGGAAAAAATGTAAAAAATGTAAAAAAAAAAAAAAAAAAAAAAATAAATTCTTATGTTTTATCGTATGTAATGTATTAAATATTATTGACGTATGGCTGATTTCTTAAAATGTCAATATTAACACAGAGAGTGGTATGCGATTGGCTTATGCTTTAAAAAAACTTTTGAAAATGTTTCAATATTAAAATTTATGATATGTCGATATGTATCTTGTATAATCTTATTAGTTTTTCTAAATAAATATGACTTTTGAATGTTCAAGCAACTAATCAATTTACATAAATCTATTGTAAATTAAAAGTCCGAAAAACGATGTGTTCAATACAAAAACTTAAAATATTAAAAATAGAATTAGTAAAAGTGTTTGCATGAGAAAATAGAAGTTAGAAATTTTCAGTCCATATAAAAAAATATATAAAACTGACGAAACTACTAAATTTCTTACTTTAGTTGTAATTTTTAAACATAAGATATATGTTGATCAACCACTTATTAAATAAATGATTACATTTTATACTTTTATGCAGAAATGAAATTTCACTTGTTATTAGATCTTAGTTAAAACTTAGATGATTATTTTAAAAATCCAAGATCAAGAGCATTAAAATATATAAGTAAATGGCTAATACTACCAGTGATGGGAGTAAAAATTTTAAATTAAAATTATTATTAGGTCTAAGCTGATATTTTATTTAGTATTTTATCCTCTACGCTAATCACAATATATTTTCGAATCGGAGGGATATTAAAAAGAGAATTTCAGTAGTCAAAGATCATCATTATATTGAG